AAGCAGGTCAAAAGCTATATATACACTGCCTGTACAAGGAGTAGGAGTTTATCGTGAAGAGTATCTTGAGTTCAGAAGCAAAGTATGTTGAGTTCAATAATAGTGCTTTAAGTTCTTAGAGCGATCGACCGAGTCGGTAGCTCTATATTAGTGCTTTGCTGTGAAACTGTCTTAACTGTTATAGCCTAATAGACTGAAGGTTGTGTTGCTAATTTTTTCAGCGTGATTGTCGTAGTTTCTCCACGACTGTAAGCATATCTTTAGAACTGTCCTGTGTAACACTGACGAATAAATTGTGTTATGATTCTTCATCAAGTGTTGTCCCCAATCACCCCAAATCCACGAAACCGTAGAACGCAACAACTGGTGTCATCTTGCTATCTTGGCTCTAGTTTCCGCTAACTGTTCCCTCACTTTTTCTTTCATGTCTTCGATTTTAGCCTTGGTTTCCTTTCTAAGCTCCACGATGCCGCTTTTAATCTTGTTTTGCTCCACTTTCGTCTGTTGGATTTGCGCTTGCAGCTTTGCTTTCTTGCCCGGCTTTTATTTCTTCTTTACCCGGTTGTATTTCGCTCAAGATCTCAGCCTTCATCTCCTCCTGCCCGGCTTTCATCTCTTCTTGTCAAGCTATTACAGCTGCTAACAAATTGATTAAAGCCTTCATTTCCTCCACCACGGACGTCTCCTGCAGACGAGTCACTGCCATTCACTCGCAAATCATACTTCTGACACCAGTTGTTAAGTTCTATAACGAATTCTTCCCGGTTTTCCCTAGAATGTTCTCTCTCCGTCTATGGCATATCGCCAATCGTTTCGCCAAATGGGCGATTTCGGACCAAATCTGGCAACCCTGCCTTTCATTGCTATTTTCTGGAAACCGTAACACCTTTGCCTGGCAGCTGATCGCAGCTGGGCATTTTGTAATAATATATATAAATATAGTATGTCTCAAAAAAAGACTGCATGAATATGTCTTCATCAGTATTTGTAGACGATGGCTCTGAATTAAGAAACACTTGATTCATTTTGCCATTCAGGTCAATGTGAAAGTAAAACAGTTTGAATCTTGTGACACCATAACAAATATGCAAATTTGAATTTTTACGATTGCAGTCAACTGCTTTGAACATTGAAGACATTTACAAAACCATTAGAATTTATCTTTAACTGCTTGATAATCAGCATCTGTTCATCTTCAACATCGAAAACGCTTTATCTATCAAAGTAGCACTATCAAAAATATGTTATATCACTGTATGTCGATGTACTCTGAATAGTCTTCTTAAAATTGTACGTAGAAAATTAAAAACTTGTCCTTTTCCTGTTGCGCCTAACCTCTACATAGAGACATCATTTACTCAAATTTTTATGAAAATTATACTCTTTCAGGTTGCCATTTAACGACAAATCAATAAAATTCAGCTTGAGAACTGAATACAGTTTGACGTCTACATACGTGTAATTTAAATCCATTATAAGACTAAGGATATTTTCAAACACTGTTAATTCATTAAATCATACTTTTTGTGTTACTTTTCTTGTAAAGACAGTTGAAGTGTAATCAATTGGAAAAATAATTATTCCACTTCTTTTCTTTACAAAATGGAAGGAGATAATATCTAGTTAATCCGATACGTAGCTGCAGTTTTCTCGAAAGATACGGAGCAATCACACATTTTCATTTGCAACTGCTGACCCAGAAATTATCACTACAGCGAAATCAAAGCTAGTGACAGAGATAGAAATAAATAAATTCTGCCTTTAAAGTAACTTTCCAAAATAGGAAACTAATTTAAATTTTACATTTATAAGAACTAGTTTGATTTTATAAAGGGTTAAACTCATAAAATAAAAATACGCTACTTACAGGCTACATAATGGTCACTGAAAATGGAACCGAGCACGTGGCAACCTCTTAAGTGTAAGCGATGTTACAAAAAAAAGTATTTACACCAAATTAATTAAAACGCTTAAGAAAGACATGAGAGAGATTTTGCTCTCCGTTAACTGTTTTGAAATAGTTTCCTATATGAAACACTGTATGCCTGATGCACACAAAACCAGATTTCATATGCTAAAATCGGAAAGATTTTAGATATTAAAGTCTGTAACAAAGCATTCTCGTTATTACCTTTCTTAAAACTAAGATAACTTAAAACTAAGATATAACAAATAGGAAACTAAGCCTGGTAGTGACTTTATGAGTGGAATTAAACTGCGAAAATTTCAGGATCGATATATGGTACTAAGTTTACTATAAAATTAAAAAGGAATCAAAGCCTGTAAAATAGGCTAATTTACTTGATAACTGTTAAGTTAAACTGCAGTTTCATTAGCTTCAAAAAGAAAATTAAAGGTATAATTTTGAAAAATGAAAAGAGAAGAAAACTAGAACGGAAGTATAATGAAAACAGTATGTCAAAATAAAGACAAAGCTTGGCACACGGATCGAGAGGTATGATCCGAAGAGACGATTTAAATTCCAAATAAATAGAAGTGCTTATTGGCTGAATAAACAGAGCTTTTAGTAAATGGTATGCCCCCCTTTGCATCACCCATTTGATTAGCTGGTGAGTAATTGATTCAATGCGTATTTATATCTGTCTTTCTGTCACAGACTATGAACTTTTGACTCAATTCTTATGACAGCTTCGTTGTAAGGACAGTGGAAAGCAATCACTAAACTACCATTCATGTCCCGCAATATCTCGATAGCGAGAAACATGAGGATCGCATCATTGTTGAAACGTTTTCGTACGTTTCGCTAAGGATACTTGCTGATGTTAGTTGCGTGATGCCTCGGCATTATTTTGCTTTGTAATGGCATTTGAGTCACTCAAAATCTAAGGTATTGCAGTGACTTGCAGCAACCCACCAACATATCCGTGTACGTCATTGAGCTCGCTTTTTCATATTACAAAAGATCAGCTTTTGATGCTAATAGCACCTCTGCAATGTCTGCATGCTGACAAGCTGTGTAATTCCCTATAGCGGCATAAAAATCTGATGATTGTGATATCATCTCCAGACTTTCACATGATAATCATCATTATAGAGACAGAAGCGATGTGAACATCGATTATCATACTTCACAAAAGTCACCCTGATTGCAAAACTGCCTCAATCAATCAATGAGAACTCTGCTTCTATTGTAATGCATACAAACAAAAACATTTGGACATCCCGCTGAATGTTACTAACTATGGGTGGTGGGGTCAATATTGCGTGATATTCTGTGCATCGATAAGTTAGTCTTAGTGCTCCAATCCGAAAACGAAGAATTACTTTTCTTTCTGATCTTTTTGTTGGAACATGGATCACAGTTTCTTCATCACGTCAAGTTTCTGCTGCAAAATAATGCAAAATCATTCAGTGTTTCGTAGTTTCGTCACTAAACTCTTCATTTCAACTAAAATGATATGTCTCTGAAAGCCGTGTACATCTCTTAATCGTTATTATGATACACGAAACAACATAAAAGATAATTTGTATTTCCTGAGAAAGTCTAATATTAGACTAACTTTTAACCTTCCAAATAATGTCAATGGCCAAAAAACAGCATATATTTGATTAACTTGTTTCTCAAAAAATACCCTGAATCTACCTAGTTTTATAACAATATTTTCATTGTAGTGCATCAACTATTCGGAGAAGCTTGATTAATTAATTACTGTAGATAATTAATTTCATTCGCAGTAAGCTAAAGAGGGATACTTTTACGAAGAAAATTCTGAGTGAAACGTGCTCAAATTCACTCACATATAGCAATAACTACAAACATTCCCATATAGCTAGTCAGCTCCACTGCTAGTGAAGTAACTGCTAGGAACTCGAGACTAACTCGCAACTAAACTACTAACTCGAGACCACTGCTAGTATCTAGAGGTGAAACTGTCAGTAGTTCGCGTCTTTAGCTACTCAATTTCTAACAAGCCTGAGAAGTCCCATGAAGTTTATTCACATACGAGTTTGACATCTGACACGATAAGAAAAAAATTTTTTAAGCTGCGCTGAGACTCGTATTCGATGCATTAAAATAGAATAAAATGTTTGAAGCCCATTGCACAATGACGTCTTACTCGTAAGAAACAAAATCAGGTTTTGTAAAGCTTCAAACAATTAACCATACAATTCCTGCTAATTTTTCAACACTTTGAAATAAATTGTGTCTTTAAATAGCGTAATAAAATATCTTTAATGAAAACAAAATATAAGGAAACAAAAATAAAGAAATGAATCAAATATACTGATGATTATAGATCATTCCTGGCTTAAAATCTAGGCAATTTATTGAGATTAACCTAATGAAACATTCCTTGTAAAAACCAAAGAAAACTTTTATTGAAATTGTTTGTGAAGGATTTATATTCATTATTTTAAGGCAGTGGAGCGTAAGACCTTTATGTGTGTGACCCCACTAAATAATTATTTTATTTGAGAGATCCTAAACTAGCACGTAAATAAAACCAGAAATTAAAACTTATAATGGAATAAGCATTTTAAAAAACGTATTTATTTTACAATCGCCAATATTAATTACATTTCGAAATTAAATATGCTAAGAAATGTAACTTAATTTCGCTAAGCGGAAATCGAGAGAGGGCAGCAAAAAGGAGTTCTATTGATCCGAGAGAGAAAAAAAAATGATTGCACTACCTACTTAGATTCCAGTTTATCACAGAAAATATTGTAATTTTAAGCTAAAATGTTAGGTAAGCTGGCTGGTTTAATAAATAACACCCAGAAACCCAAAACTGTAAGTTAAATGTAATTACTTGAAATTCTGACTTAAAACCTAGATGTTTCATTTCCTGAATCTAGTGTGAAATTTTATTCTGGTTTAGCTGTGCATCTTGACTTTTCCAAAGACTATATATCTTATTTCGCAAGCAATAATATTATATTTCTTATATGAAAGTATTTCTTATAACATGACAGCATTTTTACTTCTTTTACAAAATATCAGAATCTTCCATCTAAGAATCTTTTTTTTCTTTCAGCTCTACATTCTGCGAAAGTTGATGCAAGGTGACGAACGCAATCCTAAGGCACCCTTGGGCAACAATTTCAGACCTCCTCTTCCTCTAAATCGGCGAGCCCTCAGGAGCAACATAAATTTTATTCGTCAGGACGTAAGTCATCATCGATTAATCGATATGTATCGACACCTCTGTTTACGGCCGATACGATGCTCGTTTGCTCATACTTTACCTGTTCCAGTTCCAAAAACTATCTGATATATCCCCTTTTCAATAAGGTTTTATTTCAAGGCACTTTCTTTTTTCCCTTCAATACTTTATGAGTTTTTCGCCCCTTCAAATTAGATTTAATCCATGTGAGAGTCGAAGGATTTTTGAAAAGAAACGAAAGGCTGTAAATTGTTTTCGAACAACAATTCTTAGGATTTAGAAAGGCCACGCACCAGAAAACCGATTATCCCTTTCGAATGGGGTGTGAAAGAAAGCAATAGATATTAAATGACAGTGAAATGTTTCAAAGCTTAGAATTGTTGAAACTAAGATCCTGTTTTAACAGAGTAATTCTATGGTAAAATGCGATAAAATAAGTAAATCATTACTTTAATTTGAGGTACAGAAATCTTTGGAAATTTTCATGTTTTCGGAGATAAATAAATAGCTGTATTGGATTTCATTTCATTCAGAAAATAAAATGCGTCTACTATTAAATAATATAGACAAAAAGCAAAGAAACTTCTTCCCGAAACAAAACTTAATATGTTTCTCCTCAAAGTTTTAATTTAACTTGCTTTCACGCTTGAACATTTATCAGAATTTTAATTTATTATTATTCTTGATGAACCTCTTTTTCTTTTGCTGGAACAATAATAAAGAAAGAAGATAAATTACATAAATGAGTTTAGGATATCATGCTTCAAACGCAAACTGCAAAGAATAAGAAACCGCTTTCACTTCTAAAATTTAAATATATGTTACAAAACGAATTTGTTTTGTGCAATATTAGGCACTATTAATTTTTATCTCGAAAAATAAGAAGCGAAGATAAGCATCACACGCCAGATGCATATGGTTATTTTATCATAGTCAGAAAATATTAAATATGCCATATTCTTTTGATTTTGTTAGCTTTTCAAACCCCTGTATGCCTGGAAGTAAATCAAAATAATATTACTCTTATAGAGCAGTGTAATAACCGTATTATTCAGTGAATAATTATTAAACCGTACAGGACATATGCACTATTTCTTTGCCTGGATTAAGTTATGGGTACTTACACATTAACGCAACCGCTTTGGAGCAATTTGGCGACATTTTACAGATGAAATAATTAGAAAAACTTACTTGGAGAAAGTTATTTATAGGTGGTTTTCGCGCCTTGTTTTTAGAAAGATTCCCAAACTATCGGTATTTATAGAAAGTCGGTAAACATTATCAACATATGAAAAGAAAAGGTACTTGAGCAATTTAAAGTACAAATTTTAATTATTAAATAAGTATTATTTTATTGCTTAAAAAATAAAACACTTACATTCTTAATCAAATCTTTCTGTAATTTTCTTTCTCTAGTCTTCTCCCAAAGAACACAGCGATCTGTTTTCGCTTAGAAAAAATCAGAAAACTGCAGAGACTCGGCTTTGTGCAAACATCGGCTACAGCTTCTTTCTAGGAAACGTATTTTCTCTTTAGAAAATTTTCAGCAAAATTCTGTATTCCTGCAGACATTTTACCGCAGTTTCTTCCATTTCTGGAAAATTCCTTAAGCTTATATTTTAAAACTAAGTTTAAGGCAAAAAATATCACGATTTTTTCAAAAAAAAACGAGGAACTTGGAATACAACAAAAAAAATGGATGCAGAATGGCGGCGTTTCTTGACTGAAGGACTGTTATGAGCATGGTTGCCAGAAGAATGCTTATGCTCATGGTTGCTAGCGTTTGACACAATTCTGAAATTTTGGTGACTTCTACTAAAGTGGTTGCCTAAATACGTAAATATCAAGTTATGTAGCTACTACTTGCAACCTACAGCCTAAATGTAAAGTACCTAATCTGTAAATTTAAAGTAGTAAGTGTGTTGCAGGCAAAAATTTTACAAACTTGTGAAAACGTGACACAGTTGAAGAATTTGTTAGTGTTACAGCATGCATTTACGTAGCATGTGAAATAGTTTAATACACTGCCAGAAACGAAATAACCAGTTTCATGCATGTTCACAACTCAGACACTACAGTGTTCATAGTTTTGCTGTAAAAACATTATGTACAGATTTAACACTCGAGCAGTTTTATCCCCCTCGACTTCTATATGTATTATGTACAGAATATTCTCTGTGTGAATCTTTAAACTGCAATTTTTATGCAAATAAGTCACATGACCTAAACTTTCTGAAAAGGAGCATTGTTAGTGTATATATATCTATACATAGTCAAATAATTTAGTTGTTAGCTAAGATGACAGGAAAAAAGGAACTATTATATCCTCCTAGCGAGTCAGTAACATTAGAATAATTTCTACCGCTTTCTATAAGTCCGTTTTATTTTCTGGAATGGCTGGGATAAAAGTTGAAAATAAATTTATGTTCTTATGCAAGGCAAAAATTAAATTTTCAGCTGAGATTTCAGAAAATTTATGATTTTATTTTTAATGCATTTAAAAACTGATACTAATAATAGATACTTGTTTACATATTCACACAAATTGAAAGAAAAAAATGATTAATTTTGAAGCAGGATAATAATTTAAGTTCATATCTTTACCTTTCTCTTTTTCATTCAGTGGAATAGAAAATGATGAAATATACACTGCAAATAAATATTAAGTTCTTGCACATTACGCAGACCGTATCTCAGTGCGATACTTATCACATTAAAGTATTCCAGGACAGTAAACCTTTTTAGCACGAGTAAGTATAATATCTTATCTACGGACACTACCAACGCTGCGTACTTTAATTTTCATTTTTGAAACCATCAGTGAATGTGACTTGCATCTGTCTGCTCTCGTTTCTTGAAGTACTAAAACATAATTCAAGCTGTTTTTCTTTCTTGTCTTCTGATCGCCAACAGAACACTGTTATTTAGTCCATTCTAGAAAGCATTTCATGGATCTTAGATGCTACAGAAACCTTGAATTCATTTAAATGTGATCAGTCCTGAGTCTGTCTGTGACTGTGTCCTCGGCGGCGAGGAGAATGTAGAACATGTGCTTCTTCTATGTCCTAAATATGAGAACGAAAGAAAAGTCTTGAAACTGGGACTGAAAAATTTTAATATTAACTGGCCTCCAGAGTTTTACCAATTTATTTCCGAGAGAAGTGCTTTTAACACTTTTTGTCAATTCATTGTAAAACTGTGTAATCATCCTTAATTTTATTTCAATTTTCTCTTCTGTTTAGTTTGTATTGTGTTTCTTACTTACTTCTGTAAGCCCCATGTGATACTATGTGGTACATGGGGAACTTGTTGTGTTTCTTTTAATTAAAAAAAAAAATGTCTATATTTTTAGGTTTCATCATATTCCTACCATTTATTTCCATATTGTTTAAGAAATTTACTTTTAAGGAAATTTGCGTTTAGTTTATTAGTAATTTAGTAATTAAGATTTTATCTCTTAACTCTACTCCACACTCACTGGCATTTTCTGAAATAGACTGCCACACAGAAGGATTTTGCAGCTAATTTTAACATTTAGTGAAAGTCACTACATAAACTAGAGGGCATTTAAAAGACTTGAGAGAGAGGTGATAAGGCAAGACTATTAGCGGGCTTTCCATATCTTGATATAAGCTCTCTTTGTGACTGTTAGTGTCCCGTTTAATCCATAGAATCGCGCTGAGAATAAATTCGGTGAAATAAACTAGTGAATGTTATTTTAATCTCTTGCTTTTGTCAAGTCATTAGAAAGAAATTCAAGTGTGTTACGGATTGTCTTCTTATGCTTTCTGATCCCTAAATATTACGCTACATCTTACGAAAACCATGAAGATTAATGGTTTGACGTACTTTTTTTTAATTACTTCAAGAAGAAAACTATTAAATTCTGTTTGTAAGTTAGTTTATAAATTAAATTCGTTTCTTTGAAAGATTGGCTATTAAAATTATGTATTAATTTAATATGTAATTTTATGAAATTTTTCCATATGTTTCTCTGTTCTGAGTAAAAACTCATATCTTAAGTTACAAGAAACACTGCATGTTTGGAAATCGCAAAATTCAATTTTGGTTTGGTTTGTTTTCCATATAATTGAAATTATTGATTTCAAACTATAAAAATGTTAATTTAAAGTAATAAAAATTCATACCGACTTATAGATGAATTTTTCAGTTTTCGACTCTGGCATGATTCTCTTTGTACGTAAGTTTGTCCAAAAGTTAGTTAATATTTTTTTAATAAATCTTGGAATTTGCATTTTACAAAAATGCAGTTAACCCACAGATGCATAAAAATCCCGGGTATTTTAAGTAAGTATATCAGGACTTGTATTTCTCTTGATTTGCTTTGGAAACATGAATGGTCCTGAATAGGAACAGGGAGCTTACTCAAGCTATGTTCAAGTATGTGTGGAATGGACGACACAAGCAGTGAAATAGACAACACAAGCAGGAAGGGTATACGAAACCCTTTATTTTCAATAACTTTACAGGTATTTCCGGCACTTTTTAATACAGAGGCCAACCACTTGTGGTCGTGAACGTAAGAATATAAAAAACTACTAACTAAAACTCTAAACTAAAAGCTAACTTAACTGAATTAGTTATACAAACGCCTAAGCACTAAGATCTGGACTTTATTTAAAGAAAGGTTAACGTATGTAGTACGCCGAGCTGCTTAAACTACAATACGTCTGCAATTCAATCAATTAAAGGGCTAAGCCTCTGGCCTTAAAGGCAACCAGCAACAGAGTGAAAACTCGTAAAAACTACAGTGGCAAGGCGGCTTGCTTCCTATAACTCCTTCCTCTCTCTCTAAATCTTGGCAAAAAGCCACAACTTAAGTACTTGGTGTTAGCAAGAAAATTTGCATAAACAAATTAAAGCATTTAATTCTGGCTGGAAGTATAAAATAAGAAGTGATAGTACAGTTTTAAAATAAAAGAAACGTTAGTAAAACTTAGATCCTTACAAGTAATTATGCAAATTTTTAGTTACAGCTATAT